CCTAAAAAGGATCTGAAGAAGAGACTTGGACCATGGTGTTGGTGATGGTTTGCTATTAAGACTCGGGATTTCACTGTCAGAAGAGATGGATTAAAAGCTTCTTGTGTTTACCAAATTATTCAAATTGATTCAGCTCCTGTTTCATGGCAGTTTTCACCCTGACAACTCACGCTGTTTAGCATTTCTTTGGTTAATTCAGCCGTTTGTGCTCAGCAGGTGTCCTCTCCCAGTCACTTGAGTTATTTTTGAGTATCACAAAAATGAAGCACGTCTCACATTCAGTTAGTTTTATGCATTTCTTTATAGGTTTACTTCCAGGCAGAGAAATGTCATTATATAAATGTCATTATAATACTGAAATCAAATTGAAGAGATGTAAAGCTTGAAATTGGCAGCGAGCATTAGGTACTATTTATTCAATCATTGTGTGGTAGTATGACTGTATGCATCAGCGCTGCCGTCAGATTTCACTAAAGCTATTCACTAAAATCTTGACTGTTACAGAAACTCTAGCTGTATACTTTCGGGTAAAGCATCTGCTAATCGAAGCTGCGTGACCTTAAATTTAAGGCAGTGCTATATAATACCAGTGCAATTTTTTTAACTTGACTGTCACATGCCCATACCAGTCATATAGACTCCACGCCTAGAGTGCACAACGAGACAGGCCCAGACATGTCTGAGTGCAAGAGCTGCACATCAGAGAGCTGCTTCAATGACCCTTCAACAAAGCTTAATACATTGTTCCAGCAAAAGGTGGGAACAAACGTCACCACCCAAGCTAAAAACACAAAGCTCTTACAGCTGGTGATTTAGACAAAAGTAAACTAATGACCATTTCTAGAGAACTTGCTAGTTGCACTCACTTACTGTGCAGGTTTAGTGACTTTAGTTATTAATAAACTGAAGCAGTTATGCAGTTATGTCACATTTTTGCCTAAAAATCACTGGAAACTACAATCTAGGCTACTTTTGTGCTTACATTTGACATATTGTGTGTCACTGCTATAATCCTGCTGCTGATACTTTTAGTGTCAGTGCTGTCAGTGACTGTAGCTCATTTGAAAAGAATACCCTTCCTTTTCTTAACTTGTAAAGGCTGCTGCAATCACCAAGAAAACATTATTAATTGAAATATAGTTTGTAACCAGTACTTTCCACCCCTTTTAAATTATTATTAATATATTAAATGATTAGCAGAAAAATTGTTTTAGGAAATTCTCAATAGTTTTTTATTAAGCAGTAAATTAAGAGCTGAATTTAGTGGTTGGCTGTAGCCCCTAAAGGCCTGTCATAGATGAAGAAACCAATTGACATCCTCACAATAAGTATTTAATCGTGTTGGTACTGTATCGGTTGTGTTTTTCTTCTTCTTGTTGTTTTAAACTTCACATTAATGTGTGTACCATTTGGGGGGGGAAAAAAACTCATTGCTTCCCAGAATTGCAGCGTCTCCACCCTGTTGGGAACCATAAATTATGTCCACCATCACACATGAAGTATTTGGAGATATGTGGCCAACCAGATTGGAACATTTTGTTGGTGTTTTTGTGTTTCAACATGGAGACTTTCAGCACATCGCGTTCCCTCTGTCTTGACCGTGGAGATTCTGATGTTCTTTCTGTTGTTGCGCTCAAATCCAAACATAATTCACAAGAACATTTGGGGCATATTTGTATTTTAAATGTACGCCCGGAGAGAAGAGGGGCCGTTATGTAATCTGCTGCAGTGTGTGAGGTCAGGTGACGAGGGTCCTATCTGTGTGTGCACAATAAAATATTCAGGACCATCTTGAGGACATCATGAATCTTAATGAGGACATGTGAGTACACTAGGAGTGGAGGAAAGAAAGAAACTCTGTTGATCTGTCTCTTCTCCCCTCTCCCTCCATCGCTGGTTCCTCCCACCATCCACCTGTCAAAAACCCTCCTTCCTTCCACCCTTCCTCCCGTCACCGCTCTCCTTCCCTCACTCTAATTTTATTTACTTTCTCAATCTCTCGCTAAGAGGCTCGATAAGAGTCTTAGCACTGTTATTTTGTATGTGTGCTGTTCACGTGGCAAGCATTAGTGTGTGTTGGGTGTGATGAATCGTGCGGTCTCCATGGGTTTTAATCCAGTGGGCCACTGCGCACAAAAACACACACTTTGGAATTCGGCTCTGTGGGAAATTGTATTGAACTTCCATGCAGACTGTGTTTCTCTGTCTCTCCGTGAAGTGCGCTATTAGCTGAAGGCCTCCCCTTCTTGTACTCCTCGTTCTCCTTCTCCTTTTTAAAGATTGTTTTTTTTTTTTCATCTGTCTGTCGTTTCTTCTCGCCACACACACAAGCCCTCTGTTTGAGACAGTAGCTCAACTTGAAAACATTTTAGCTCATAAAACACATTGCATTCTTTCATCCTTCCCGTCCAGTTTCAAAGACTGTCCGAGTGTCTGCGCGGATGAATCATGTGCTCAAACCAATTACACCGTTTAAAAATGAACTCTTTTCATACGAGAGAACACATACGTATGTGTCTGCCTGAATTGTGGTATAAGCATGCTGATACTTAAAAAAAAACCCCAAAAAACTCACACTTACAAATTCAAACACGTGTGACTTGGTTTGCCAAGTTACAGAAACAGACCTTTTCTCTATGCTGTGACCTTGTATATAACTTTGGTTTTAGATTTGAGTTATTGGTGAGTTATTGGAAGGTTATTTTGTTGGTATTTTCACAACTTTTAATTGTAAAAAGCAGCAGAAACACTGGTTTATTTTGAGATGCTTATCAACAGGCTTTATAATGAAGATTTTTGAAGATTTAAAAGTTGTTTAAGGTGTAAATAGGTAAGGTAAGGTAATAAGAATTCAATTTCCCATTTCCCATTTGTTTTTAAAATCTTTCATGTCATTACTTTGGCTTTTTGTTTTTTTGGCAGTATTTCGCTACGTATACTCGCTGGCCAGATTGTTATTTACACCTTGGTAGTACCAGGTTGGACTCTTTTTACCTTCAGAGCTACTTTAATTCTTTGTGGCACAGATTCAACAAGTTGGTGGAAACATTCCTCAGAGATTTTGGTCCATATTGACTTGATAGCATCACACAGTTGCTGCAGATTTATCGGCTGCACATCCATGATGTGAATCTTTCTGCCACATCCCAGAAGTTGCTTTATTGCACCTTCTGGTCACTCCAGAGGTTATTTGAGTATCTTGGTGAGCATGTGAACCTGTTCTTAGCTGACAGGAGTTGCAGCTTGTTTGATCTTCTACTCTTCTTCATACCTTGTGCAAGTGTTTTTGGTTTTTTTTTAGTTATTGCCTTCCTGTCAGCTCAAAGCAATCTGACTTCTGGCTTCAACAAAGCATTTTCACCCAAACAACTGCTGCTCACTGGATATTTCCTCTCTTTCTCTGTAAACTTTAGAGGTAGTTGTGTGGGAAACTCCCATCAGATCAGCAGTTTGTGAAAAACTCAGACCAGCCTGTCTGGCACCAACAACCATGCCTCTTTTTAGAGTCGCTTAAATCACCTTTCTTCCCCATTCTGAAGAAAGCACACCATTTTGATCATGTTTATATGCCTAAATGCACCTCGTTGCTGCCCTGGGATTGGCTGATTAGATATTTGCATTACCAAGCAGTTGAACAGGTGTATCTAATGACCTAAAGTGTAGATTGCATATGCATCGGTGCCAAATGTTATGAGAAGCCTGTTTGCACTGTGTTTTATACTTGCTGATAAATCATGTAAGAGAAAAAAGAAACAGCTGTAGTTTCTTTTATACAAGCTCAGTTGGTGTTTTTGCAGCTGATCGTTATCACCTTCAAGAATAAAACCACTCCCTCATCTAATCTCAGCTGATGCATGAAAAATCACATCACTCGCACCTTCCCACACCTACCGAGCTCATTAGGAGATAACAGTAGGACATGTTTAAGATTTAAGCAGCTGTAGCTCACTGCTGTTTGTCTCTCCTCTTGCCATTTTTCTTCCAGATTGATCAGCCATTCGATGGGGATTTTCAGAGGAGCTCCGCCTACCGTCGCCGCATTCCCTCCTCCTCCGACCCCCTCCCCCCGCGACCTATTGATCGCCCCCACCCACTCCGTCATCCAGCCCTCCATCCAGCCCTCCATACAGAAAATGACTCTGGAACTCACTGAATGGTCTTCTATATGGATTTTTACTGCTTGTAATAGACAGTAAGAAAAAAGAGGCGCAAACCTCGATGACAAAAAAGCCATAAACACCCACAACACACACATACACATACACACACACATACACCCACACACACACACACACTCACACACACAACAAACACAGCTACACACACAAACACTTTCATACCAAATAAAGCTGTTTTGCAAGCAGTTTCTCTCACACTTTGACGTGCACACACAAAAGAAGCAAGTGCACAAAGCCACTCTTGGAATGTACCGCGTACTCTTCCCATGAAATTCAACTGCTTCCTTTATTTTTCTGAGATTCTCTACAGGCCTTGAGAAAGCTGATTTTATTTGATTTTTTTCCTCCCAATTTAAACAAGGATTAAAAAGGTTGGGAATTTCAATTTGCAGTGTTTTTGGAGGACAACTTTAGAGGACAGCTGATTGCTAATTGATTTTTTTTTTTCTTCTTTTTTTGGATCTCTGATACATCTGGGGATAGCAGATTAGTTTATCTGCAAATATTTAGTGTCTTTAACCTTTATAGTTTTAGTAGGACCCAGTTTAACATACATTTTATTACCTCGCAGGCTGGGAAGCATCTGTTACAGTTATTCAGCACTTCTTGAACACTTAAGTAATAGATGTAACAAGTGTATAACTAGCAAGTTACAACCACTGATTGCATTTTGTAGCTTGTAAAGATTGTAATGAAGTTACTTCTAGAAAGTCACTACTCGTTTTAAAGTACAAGTAACTTGAATTGAGGAGAAGTAGGAGTAGTATTGTTTTTGTACTGTAGTATTGTTAGCAGGGGTGCGCTTGTTTTCCTGTTGCTTGCATGCCCTCCAACATGCCTCCCCAGAACACAGAGGCTGACACCATGCAGGTCGGATCTCTGGTGGGTGGGGTTAGCAGCAAAAACTCCACCGCATCAGGCTTGGATGAGGAGAAAGGAGGAGCAGGAGGCGAGACGGATGGATTGGGAGGCGGAGGCGGAGCGGCAGAAGGAGGCCGAGGAGGAGAGGAATCTGCTAGCGAAGGATCGATCGAAGGGATTCCTTTAAAGCGATGGGTGATGCACGGAGCCGTGATGTTCGGTCGGGAGTTCTGCTACGCCATGGAGACAGCGCTGGTGACGCCTGTGCTGCTGCAAATAGGTGAGCAGAGTCCAGATGATTTACATATGAAACATAGAAAGCCAACATCTGCAAAGTACTTCAGCTGCAAAATTCCTGTTTTTTAAAAATATCTGTTTCATGTGTTTTTGTAAACTGTAGTTCGGGATCTACATCAAACTAAAACGACCAAAATGATTAATTCACAAAAAATGGGAGGAAAAGAGCAGCAAGGTCTCACAATAAAGAGCAGCCACTCACAAAAAATGTTGATTCTGTCCTTCTGGACGTGGCGTTTTCAGTGGGAGAAAGAATTTATCACTGGCTAGCTCACTGCTATCAGTGAGGTATAGAGTAGAGCAAAGAGTGTGTTGAAGACATTTCATGGTGTTGTGGAAAACATTTACTTCTACGGATCGATGTTGGGATAAGCTAATGAGTGGAGCTCTGCAACATGTGCTTGACTTAACCAAGGTACCAGGGTTGTGACCAGCACGAGGCTGTCATGTGGCCTGCCCATGGCTGGGTTCATGGGCATTAAGTTAATTGGTAATTCTAAACCGGTTGTAGGTGTGACTATGAGTGTGAATGGTTGCCTGTCTCTCTGTGACAGCCCTGACCCAAACTGACAACCTGTCCAAGTTGTACCCTGCCGCTTGCCCTATGACAGCTGGGATACGCTCCAGATGCTCCAACCCCTCAGATGGATAGATGGATGAAACGCTGTTGTCTATCTTTAAATTGTAATGCCATTTAAGGGGACACCTTAGCAGCTAAAATGTCAGAGCACATATCTCATCTCCCCTTCACCTTGTTCGGATCTGCTTGGAGATTACCCGGCTTACACCCTGCCTCACAGCATGCACACACAGAGAGAACCAGACCTCTGGTCACAGTGGGCATGCTGTCATTTGCACCCAGTGTCATCTTTGACAGCCTTTTGAAAATATGCCAAGTCCAGTTCTGTCTGGAGGGTACTGGAGTCTGTAGAGGAGATGGAGAGGGTGTGAAGAGAAAAATGTGAGAAACAGCCATAGCATTATTTGTAGTTTCCATGTAAACCCCCCCTCTTGCTTCTTTTTTTTCCTCTTCAAATTTCTCCTTCCCCTTCACTGACATTAGCACGATGTCCTAGCTTACATAACCAAGGGGACATGAATAGGAAGTCACTCTGTGGACACCGTGACTCCTGGCCGGCTCACCCGGGATGAGCCGCCACAGGGAACCAGGATCCCAAACATGCACTTCAAGTGTTTGTTGTGTCGAAGGCCAGCACTGAGATCAGCCAAATGTTGGAAATTTAAAGGCTTTCAGCTGAATTCAAAAGATTGGTGTGCTCTTGATGCGTAATATTAAAGCAGGAAAAGGCATCACAAGTAACAAAAAATATTTCTGGGATTCATTTAAACACGTCTCCCGAGGACACATTACACGGGGGAGCCGCTGCATGTTTTGGTTCTAATTTTAGCCCCGATTTAGCTGCCCTAGCCTAATTTTTTTTAGATCAGAATATGTCTGAGCTCCTCTTAGTAGATTTTGAAACTGCCAGGAGGTACAAGCCCCACAGATTAGTCTGCTAAAACTAAAGCAGAAAGAACAGTGACTTTATTTGTCACTGAGAGGAAAGATAATCCAGTCATGGTATTTGTGTTTTTCATTCATTTTGACCTTTTACTCGTCATAATTAATGAGAAGGTTGCCTTTCATCCGAATAAAGGAGATTCCAGTCAGTACAATACAGATAAACCGTGCATGTTGTTATTATTACTACCAAATACTCCATGCAAAGCATTTTTACTAATAAGTTACAAATAAAAACGTGTACATTTGCGTCACACGTCGCTGCCAAAGAATGCTTTACGGATAAGTGACACGCCTGCAGCCTGGAAAAGACTACAAATGATGTTCCTATCATGTTAACAGCTGCTGAAAATTAGGTCGATGAGAGTGAACCAAGACTGTACAGTCAAGATCTGTAAAGTCATAAAACAAGCTGAGCGAGGGTTTAGCGAGATTGGAGTTGTCTGAGAGCTCATTAGTATGAGAGATTTGGAGAATAATGTAATAATTTCAACAAACTTTTTGGAAAAAATGGCAGGTTGGAATTTACTTTGCTTGTGGTGATCTTGTACTCTCTGTGTGACATTTTGGCAAGATTTTACTTCCCGTCCTGTTTTGTCTGCCATACATCATGTTTTGGATAGTTTAGCAAGTCTAAAAATGGAAATGAACTCCATGTATGCTTTGGTTAACCATGGAGAGTTTTCCTCATTTCCTGTGCATGCTGATTAGCCTCATGGATGTATTAATAGATCTTAATATGGCATGTCAGCACATCTTTCTTCCAGTGGCAAAGTAGAGCTAAAAAAAATCCCCTGTGGACCAGAGTGATTTTTCCTCATAAAAACACCATTGTAAAGTGTTGACAGGACCATTATAACAGAGCTGGAAAACTGCTGGCAGAACAAACAAGGTGGAAGCAAACCTGGAAGAGGAAGTTTTATTATGGCTTTTGGGTGAGCCACTTTGTTTTGAAATAGAAAAGGACTTTTCAGTTCTTATTTTGCAACATCCAGAACCATCTTGAGCGTTTGGTTTTTAGATCAGTTTGGAAGTTATACGTCTGTGTACGACTACGTTTCCCCCGACCCTTCACAGCTACAAAGGTTGCTTGTGTTTGCATTCATTCATGTTTTTAGTCTGCTAAAGGAAAAACAAACAGATGTAGTACCTGAAAACAACCCCCTCCTCTAACTGTGGGCAGAGCTCCAAGTTTTGGGATAACAATATCCCGCCCTCCCACGCCCGCTCCTCTATGTAGTTAGTGCTCTATGCACTGACTGTAGCTACTAGAATTAGCTAGATCGTCAGTAAGCTGGCTGGTTGGCTCTGCCTGAGTGAAACCATTGTATGTGTAACCCCACAACATTGAGGTCACAGAAGGGGAGAGGGTGTGTGTCTGAGTGTGTGTGCAGCTGATACAATTTGGTCAAGGAGCCCATATTTACACAACGCGGAGAAAAGCTAAGAAACTTCTGCCTTACAAGGGCTTGTGCGGGGAGCATGCCGAGCTCTCGTCTGTTCTTATACAAGGAGGCAGGCCTTTCCCCTAAAGGCAAGGGCACATATTGGGGCTGTTGAGACAGTTATATTTATAATTTAGGCATCAAATCGGACCAAATTGGGCTTGAGTCTTGTACAGTCTGGGCTGCTAGTTGAAAACAGCCGATATAAGTGAGATAAGATGATCACTGTGCAGCTTTTGTCCTTGTTTCTTGCGTTCAATTAAGTAAATTCATTTAAGGTCAATTTTATTCATATACAGTAGCACATGTTCGCAACAATGATCATCTCAAGCTGCCATATATTGTAAGGTTAAAGATTCACCAATATTAGAGAAAACCCCACAGTGGGGATGACAAACTCCCTTTGTTTACAGTAACAAGTGGGCTCAAAGAGGGCAGCCATCTTCTGTGACGAGTTAGTGGGTGATGGGGAAAGGAGGAGACAAAAGAGGTGCGCAGAGAGACAAGGATTCAATAAGGAAAGTTTTAAACCTAATCTTAGCAGTAGAGCAGGTGTCTGTTTACTGAACCCAAACTGGGAGCTTGTTCCACAGAAAGGGGTCTGATAGCTGAAGGATCTGCCTCTGTGTACCCTGCATCTTACCCTGCTGGGATATGCATTGATATCTTACATACCCTGAAATGTTCTTGTTTATTTCTCTGTAAACTCTGTGTTTGTGGCTATTTTTTAGGTCATTTAAGCTGCCACACAGAGAGGCGAAGAGTCTTTTGAAAAGATGTTTTGTATCCAGTGCACTGCCTTTGATTTGTTCTGCTTGACCTGCAGGGACATTTTCCTGTTGTCTTTGTTGAAAATCACCCTCAGCAGGAACACCACCTAATGCTCACACAGAGATAAGAGTGAAAGGGAGTCAGCTCTAGAAATGGGATTAAGAAAAGTGATAAGGTAAAAGAAAAAGAGCAGCGTGAGGGGTGGGGGTGATGAGTCCAGACCGTGTCGATCTTTTCGGTTATTAGCGTGTCACATTACATAATCAGCTTTCTCAGAACTGACCTCATAGGCAACTCAAGACAACTAGTAAAGCATCAAAATACTCGTTATTTGTCTTTATCAAATATATATGTGCAGCTCCATACTAACAGCAGGCTGTTGGACTAACGTCAGATTAGGGACGTTATCAGACACAGAAGCATTGTGGTGTGAGAATTAAGTACCTACAGATACAAGGCAGTGCGTAAGAATCATGACAAAGAGTACAATTAATGTGAATACAGCAGAAGCTCGTGTTGGTTCATACAGAGTCACTTATAGCTCACATAGCCATTATTGTTTCACTTAATTTTGAGAACTGGATGTAATTTTATGAACCCCGTGGAGTACGTTGCTCATTAAGTTACACCCACTGACCTCAAAAGTCGCTGTGCTTTGAATTTGATTAATAGAATAGAATAGAATCAAATAGAAAGTCTTTATTGTCATTGTATTCAGAATACAAACACAATGAGATAAGAAGGTCTCGCTTGGCAGAACTGTAAAAAAAGAAAAAGAAAAAAAGAAACAAAAAAACAGCCAAGAGGCACACA